TGCTAGCTTTGAGGGAAATAGCTCAGGGACCATTTCCAGGCTCTGAGTTCAAGCCCTATGACTGACCAAAAAAACAAAAACAAAAAAACCTTGACTCTGAGCTTTTAATGAGTTCAATTTTTTTACATTAGTATGTAAAGTAACTATTTAGCCTTATTTAAGAATTATTGAATATAAGACATGGCTAATCTTTCAGAGATATCTTTGCAGAAACCTAATAGATGGCTGTCAGACAACTATGTCTCCCCCTCTAGGAAGTGTGTGCTCTACTAAAGCTAAGATAATAGATCTCAAACAAGCCTTCAGTGACTCACAAATAATCCTGGCTTTGAAAATTAGCATGTGTTTGGAACCTGTCTCTATGCATCCATTTTGACAGTACTAAAAAATATTATGTATACCATAAAAAACCCATAATTTTTGTATGATTATTGTATGATACCTAAAAACCAGACACGCTAAAAAAACAAAAGATTCAAAAAATAAATATTAAAGATGCCATGCAAATAGAATTCTATTTCATTGGATTTTTCTAAGTTTAATAGTTTAATTGTGTTCTTAAGACTCATCAAGGAAATATGATACAATTCTTGCTCAAAATTTCCAACACAGTGATAGCAATGTGTTAACTTGAAAACTATTTTCTTAAGCTCACAGTTCAAGTAAGCCTCTCTGAATGTCACAGATGTATATTGTTCTATATTTATCTCAGAACTGCTAAGAAGTTATGAGTAATAGAAATGCCTGAGCAGATAGCTAAAATAGAAATGAACATAGGACAAAAATATTCCTGGCTAACAATTAATACCTCCTCAAAAACTTCAAACCCGGGATGGAAAGAACATAGACAGAGAAATAAATGATTGTCTTCTCACATTATTGTGGTCTTTAAAATATCCTTTCAGAATTAAAATTTGGCCAGACTTAACCAAAGGCAAAAACAACTTTTAACTTGTTGTTACTACTAGTCACCACTAGGTGGCAACAGAGTAAAGACACGGTGCCAGTCTTAGGATAACTGCTGAGAGTTTCAACCTGGGAAGACAGGACAAAAGCTCCTCTCCTGAGATAGTTTGCTTGAATAACCATACAGAACAGAAATACTGGCCTTAGAGACAAAACAAACAGAAATACTGGCCTTAGAGACAAAACAAAGATGCTGATTTTAAACAAGCTAGGCCATCTATTACATCCTAAAAATATTCTACTCAATAGAGTGTTTAAAAACACTATCCTTTCTAAAAGTTATTTGTAATATGAAGAAAGTATCCAATATATTTTAGTTCTGGTATATTAATCTGAAATATAGTGTTGAATTATTATCTTATAATTTCCATATGATGAGGACATGTAAGAATTAACCAATGAGCATCAGTTATAACAGCTGTCTAACAAATGAACATATAAGGTAATGAGAGACACCTTCACACAGCAGAGGGAAAATGTCTGAAAACCTGTGGATTTCTTTATGGGTTTCCTGAGGAGAGAAAGAGAAATCATAGGTTTTTTTTTCCAGCTCATTGATGGTAGAGATAAGGAAGCTGGGATGCATTCAACTGTAAGACAATGCTCAAGACAGGAAGATAGATAGAAATATGCCCTCACAAATAACTACTAGCTCTACTTGCTCTTCTATTGTTCAGATGCTTTTAAAATAAATTAATTTGACTGTGATTAAGTAAGTCTCTTCCAAACTAGTTTCTAGTTATCTGTTAACACGAGGGCAATGGCTGTGCTAGGCAAGCTTTGAAACTTCCTTGTTAAAGAAAACTGTGATTCATTCTGGACTGAAAAGTAAGCTGTGTAAAAAAGGTGATTATTTAGATGGAAACAAGATGTTTTGAAGGATAGGAAGGGAGGAGAAGAATATTGGGAAAGATGACGAAAAGTAAGGATATTATTGTCTGACACGCCCAGGAACACAAGTTGACATGAAGGGAGCTGTGGAATTTAGGGAGCTACCCACTTAAGTAATAGCCCAGTATTGGTAAAGGGACAATTCATTTAAATGATTGGGAAAGTAGAGTGAATTGAATAGATTGCATTACAGTGATGCTAAGTAAAAGGGGAGATACAGACTAAAAGTACACTGTTTTACATTCATGAACAGTCAAAGTGATATATTTTAATGTAAGGCCAGCCTGTTTTATCAAACACTATATATCATGTATAAAAGCTTCAAATTGAGCTATTCAGGAAGCTGAGATCTGACTTGGTTTGAAGCTAGTTCATACAGAAAGTCCATAAAACTCTTATCTCCAATTAAAAAGAAAACTATCAAAAAAGCTGAAAATAAAGCTGTGGCTCAAGTGGTAGAGTGCTAGCTTTCAGCAAAAGAAGCTCACTGACCAATGTCCAGACCCTGAGTTCAAGACCCAGGACACACACACACACACACACACACACACACTTCAATTATTACTCTATTTAAAACATATTAGAATGATTTAAATATATGGAAATAAGCATGTATTTAACAAAATATTTTCTCTCTTCATTAAAAGAGCAGATCATATTTTCTTATAACAAATGATGCTATGCACCACAGATAATGCTGTGATTTTTCAGTTGTGGGGCTTGAACTCGGGGCCTGGGTGCTATCCTTAAGCTTGCTTTCTCAAGGCTAGTGCTCTACCACTTTGAGCAGCAGCACCACTTCCCATTTTTCTAGTGGGTAATTGGAGATAAGAGTCTCAGAGACTCTGCCCACGGTTGGCTTCGAACAACAATCCTCAGATCAAAGCCTCCTGTATAGCTAGGAATACAGGTGTGAGCCACCAGTGTCCAACTTGTGATTATTTTTGAGACAACTGTCATCCTTTTGATTGTCACTTGAAATGTAGGAAATTAGATTTTTCTAAAGTTTCTTTTATATTTATTTTTGATTAACAAGAGAATTTTCAACATCATGCAACTCTAATGCATACTCTTTGAATGTGTTCCAAGGAAAATTTGAAGGAAAGAAACTGCTCTCTGGATAGAATGTTTAAAATATCATTGCCTATATTAGAGTAAAAATATTAGCCCAATTGTAACTTCAGAAAAAAACAGAGCTAAAAGTTTACTTGTAGTATATAGAAACATATGCAAGTGAACATTGCTGTGAAGTAATTTAAAATAAGAAAACCAAGAAATTATGAAATAATGTAACATGCTATTAATAGCAATTAATATATACAACTGTGCCATGTGAAAGTTTCATATCTATAGCTTATCTATATCATGTAGAGGTATAGAGAATACATATATATGTTTCTGAATAACTTAGTTGCTTCTTTTTATAAATTTAAATTTGATTTGGTAATATATTGGACTAAATAATCTCAAATATCTGGATGGTAATTTAATCTTACTGGTTCTTAAAATAATATATTTAATGCCTTATATTTTAATAATCTAGCTTGATCAATTTAATTACTATTAGTAATTTTATACTGCCTTATAGGCATAAATTTTGTCACTATTTTGAGGTAGCCATGTGGCCAGTAACTTTAGTTTTACATTGATATATTCTTTACATAGACTATTGGGTAAAATTTCTAATAATGTTGTTAATAAATGCTTCCAATTAATAGTAGTATGGGTAGAAAGGATTTAGGAAAGCAGTAGATAATAGTATCAGACTAAAGATAGTCTTAAGAGTTCCCCATTCAAGCTTGGAACAATGGGGTTGCTATAAACAATTTGCAGGAAAACTTCCCGGTCTCCCGTAATGCTCTCATAATGATGGAAGCCCAAGACCTGAGCCTGATGTCTAAGAACATAATCTAATGTCATTAAAAAGCCACGTATTTGGGGCTGGGAAGGTGGCTCAGTGATAGAGTGCTTGCCTTGCATGCAGGAGGCCCTGGGTTCGATTCTTCAGCACCACATAAGCAGAAAAAGCCAGAAGTGGCTGAGACTCAAGTGGTAGAGTGCTAGCATTGAGAAGAGCTGAGCGACAGTGCCCTGGCCCAGAGTTCAGGCTCCACGACTCACAAAAACATAAACCCACAAATAAAAACAATAAAAAGCCATGTATATAATCATCATGCAAAAATTGATTTTATTATTTCACCATGCAACTATTATTGAGAAGAGAATGCTTTTGAAATGTGTTGTGAATAAAGTATGCATTTCTCTTCCTAAAAGGTAACACACAGTCAAATACTAATTACACCAAGTTTACGTATTCAACAAATGTGGTAACTTTCATTCATTCAAGTATTTGTGTAGCTGTATGGGATATGAAGGCTTGTCATTTCCAATATTATAAGTATCTATTACAGATACTGGTCTTGATGCTTAGTTTAAAAAGAAAGGAAACTCTCTTGAGAGTTCAGTGCACTGGAAATTTCTACCAATATTTCTCTTCTAAGGTAAAATGTTACATGTTACCTGGATATTGTTTGTTTCATTCTAGTTAAATTTCTCTGTTTACTCTTTTAAAAAAAAAATGCATGTGCATTCTCCACACTGAGGACAGAGAATGTTAATTCAAATGTAGCATGGGATGTCTGCCTCTGGCTATTTTTCATATGTACCGTATGTGAAAATGTTGTCTGTGGCAAAAAGTTTAGAGTGAATGTGGATATTTTGCTGTTAAGCTAAATGTGGCTTATTTTCTGCTTGTCTGAGACAAAGCTGGAAAATCTGATTGAATGAAGGTCTCCATCCTCCCTATTTCAGTGCTGTACATGTTCTTGCCGTATTCCTGACCTTGGAAAAATCAATGGGACTAAACCTCCGCTTTTCCTAAATGCTAGAGAATACTCAATTGTGAATGTGTTCAAAAAAATTGAACCTTGGCCATTTTAAAGCATCCTTCAAAATATCTTAATATTTTAACTATTAATCCAGCAGAAGCCCTTTATATGGTGGTTTTCTTTTCTTCTTCCTCTTGGTTTTTTACAACAGGAAATAGTAAATGTCAAGAAAAGTACCCATGACATTATCCAAACTATCTATTAATTTGTACCAATTTAAGCATTGATTACATTGCTAAAATCATTTCATTTCAGCCTCAGCGCCCTGTGTTCACTCATGAAAACATTCAAGGTGGGGGGGAACCGTAAGTATTCTTCTTGTCTTCTAAACTCAAGACTAGACCTCAACTCATAAAATGGTCAAGGGATATGCCAACTCAGGAGGAGATAAGTTAGCAAGCAGGAGAGTTCAAAATAACTAATATGAGTGCTCTTAAGAGAAATTGCAATAGTCCATCTTTTATAGCTGAAATCTAAAGCTAATGTTTAAAAGAACAAAGAAAAGGTTTTAACTGATGCCCTAAGAAATCCTTCCAATGGGGCAGTCATCCCTAATATGTATAAATGTCTCTTCCCCCATTCCACTGGCTATCTAATTACTAACTACAGCTATAAAGTTGCAAAACATGTCCCAGCATCGTTTTATTAAGAGCAAACAAAGCGACCCTTGACTGCTTTGAAAGTAGACATAAAGTCTGCTTCAATGACATAATGCCAATGTTTCATGCTTTTAAGTCTCTTTTGAAAATGCCAGTATTAAAACACTGGAGATCTATCTCAATGGTAGAGCATTTACTTTACATGTATAAGGACCTGGGTTCCCTAGTACCCCCTACACAGAGAGGGGGGGCAGGGGTGGGAGAGAGAGGAGGGAGGGGAAGTATTCCGTTACATATTACTTCTGCAGCACCAGGAAAACAACTTAATAGACTTCCCTTTCAAATTCCCTCTACTTCCTGCCATACAACTTAAATCAACCTGAAGGTGGTCTTGTCTTTAAGATTCTTTTGTGTGTGTGTCTTTAACCACAAGAGATATTCACCTGTGGTAATTCACAAGTGGATATTCACCTTCCGGTTGGCCTATTTTGAATCTGTAACTAGACACATGGAGGACCCATTGTGGACCTAAGCTTGGCCCTACATCCTGGAGACATCCTGCCTCTATCTAGCCTTCTACCCAAGCGCTGATCACCTGACAAAAGATTGTTCTAGCCTGTGACCTGGCGTCTTTAGCAGCATAAAGACCCCTTGTTCCTCAGGCTTAAAATCAGACTCTTTAGAAAATCCATCCTTCTTGGAGACTGTCTCTCACAGAAGGTGTTCTTATTGAACAAGAGTCCATTATCATGAACCAAATAGGTTAAAGGTAATATTCATTTAAAATCTCAGATAGTTGAAAACCCTTATTTAAACATGGCTTGCTAAAGTGTCTCTTATTTATGCTAACAATAATCATGAAAACATACCCAAATACAAATTCCACTTCTGATTTTAAGTTCCTCTCATTATCAACATGTTCTAATAAAGCATTTTTGAGAAATTCAGGGATGATACATTGTATCATTACCCTGTTTTATATCACGTATAACTGTGGTCATTCACCTATTGTGAAAGCACACAGCCCACAGCAGGGAGAAGAAACATGTTGGAAGTCCTACTTTGGATATTGTAAAACATTGATAAAAAGTTGCTCTTTTTGGAGACAGCGTCCAAACATATAGCCCAGGTCAGCCTCTAATTCAAGATTATCCTGTCTCTATCTCCTAAATGCTAAGCTGGGATTATAAGTGTATTCCACCATACTTAGCTAAACTTCCTGCTTGATTACAACCTCAATTAAAGGGATGATGGGTTGTTACTTAATTCTGTTCTTTAAAAACTAGGTTTTTGAAGCAAAAACAAAAACATAATCTTATGTTGCTGTAATTCAGTTTGGGGACGTTATGGCCTAGAAACAGGTGATGTTTTAGTTTCCAGCTTGGCTCATCATTTCCTAGCTAAAAGGCAAATTTCTTTTGGGAGCCATCCTGACCACCAGCACTGTTGTTCATTTTACCAACACATTTTTCAAAAGAGCATTGTTTTTCATTGCCATTCAGCATTTCCTGCCATGTAGTACTGATTTTGAAAGCCAGCAGAGGTAGGAAGAAATGGTAGAAGATTTGTTGATGTTTCCATAAAACTCTTTTTCTGTATGTTTTAACTAAACCAGAGTGGTAAGTGAACTTGACAAGCATGCTGACTTTCATAATACAAAAGTGAAGTAGGAGTCCAGGCCAATTTTGATTTGTTCGCTCTGGGAAGGGACCTTGAGATTCTTGAAGCAGCTGGGGTTTGTGCCTTAAATAGTCCTGTCTCAGTAATTGGCTGGAGATGGGCCTGGGTGAAAGCTAAAAAGCTAAAAAGACAAGGTGTAAATCCATCTAAATAGCAGCCCAGGTATAACCACCTCCTTCCAGTGTGAGAGCAAGAAGGGGGCTATTCACTTTTCCCATGAAGATACAAAAGACACCATTCCTTCACCTGACTGGCCTCAAAACCAAATTAGCATAAGCAACAAGATAATCTCATTATCCCCTTAAGGCTGGCCTCAAGCCCATCCACATCCAGTACTGCTGATCTGTTTCAGCATTTCTCTGGGATTCTGGCCTTCTGTACCATGGCCACAATCAGAATCTTCTGCCAACAAAGGACGTCAGAAGACTAAACTCAAAAGAACATAAATAGCTAAAATAGTTTACTAGAAGGACAAAGTATTTACAGAGAAGCGATGTCTAGGGTTGAAACTCCAGGCTTTTGTAGAAAAGGGAAGATTATGCTCTTTTACTCAAGGGTGTGAGACTTCTGGCTCTAACCAGCTCATTCTACTTTATTCACATCCACCCATATGAGAAAGTTCAGGAACAAAGAGAAAGGCCAGTGGATCAGCATTTTATACTCATAGCAAAATTTTTGAGTCCGAGTGGGAGAATAGTTTGATTCTACCAAAATAAGATTTTTTCTGGCTCAATAAAGTAATTATAAATAAATCATTCTTGTTCTTGAACAGAATTCAGTATGATCAAGTTTTTAAAGGTGGCCCAAGCAAATCAAAGTGCTACCGATGTTACTCAAATTGTCACTGATTTATATCTATGCACATGAGTACACTACCAAATGTTTACTAAATATTTGTGAAGTTTTCATATAAACTGCAAGCCAAATTCTTCCTGACCTTAATGGTTATCATTTCTGTCTTCACTTTCCAAAATGCCAGTCCATGTTAATATTATTTTTAATCGATTATAATAAATAAAATATTATTTTTACCATGAATTCAAACTTTGAAATCATTAGTTATCAAGATCATCAGAATGCCTGTCACAGAGAGAATAAAATGGTAACACTGGATTGGTAATTCTTCTGCATATAAAAACTTTTTTCCATGGAGATTTTTAAGTCAAACATAATTCTTCCAGGGCCAATTTTTAAAAGTATTTATGTCCAGAATCTACACTTTGATACTGGCTTAGAGGTAACCTAGGATAAACTATATCTCTCAGTTTTATAGATGAATTGTATCTAATCTTAAAACAGTGACTAATCCCCTCTAAAGAATCCCCTTGATTAAAAAAAAAACATAACTTCTCTTCTTATAGCAATTCCACACAGTGATTTAAAAGACATAGATCTGAGATATTTTATACACTTGAGATATTTTATACATCTCAATTTAAAGTCATTTGAAAATTCCATGTGATTGTGGCTGATTACAACTGCAATTTCTTCTTAATATAGCTAGATAACACATGTATTGCCTATTTTATACTCTGTGTCTGAATTAGAGACATTACATGATTGAACAATTGAACTGAAGTTCTAATCTACAAATGTTAAAATGTTTAAGCCAATTCATTAATATTGTAGTCTTCATTATTTTTATATCTACTATCTAATATATTAATCAGAAAGAAAAACGAATATTGTATAGTCTTCTGTAATTTTGCAAAGATGTAAAACAAAATTAAACACACCCATTTGTCCCGTTTAAGGTTTCAGGCTCTATATAACTATACCCCTAGGAATGCAGATGAGTTGGAACTCAGAGAAAGTGACGTCATTGATGTAATGGAAAAGTGTGATGACGGATGGTTTGTGGGTAGGTAGACATTCCTTTGCCTAGCACCCTGTTTTATCATTTGCTTGAGTTTGTTCATTTGCATAGGTCACTGTGAGCAAGCTTTCTTTGAATTCATTTAATTGATATTTCATGAATCTATATGTATTATGTAATCCCAAGGCCACTGCATTTTCATGCCATTTGATATTTACTGTTTCTGGTGTATATGATGTTTGCTAGTTTTGTTTCAAGTCAACTGAGCAAAGAAATTTTCTTTAAACAGCCTCAACCATGAAAGACTATTATTGAATCATAAAGAAAGCAAAACAGTAATTGTTCTCCAGATAAACACTATTGTTGCTCTCTTCAGTGAAAAATGTTAGTTGTCAACAGTAAAAACCACATTTGAGAGGGAGTGAGACGGAGTGAAGAGCTGACCTTTAGGTCTGAGGCAGTTAGCCTAAAAGTCCAATCATTCTCCTTAGCTTCAATTTGTAACAGAAGAAAAGTTTCATTCTTATTACTTCAAAGACAATTCCATTCTGGCCATCTTAAAAGGCTGGAGTCTTTAATTCAGCAGTGAATGCTTAGCATGTAGGAACCTTATGTCCTTATGTTCAACTCCTAAACACACACACACAAGAGGGAAAAGAGAGAGATGGAGAGGGAAAGAAAGAAGGAGGAGGAGGAGGAAGAAGAAGAGGAGGAGGAAGAGGAGGAGGAGGAGGAGGAAGAGGAGGAGAAAGGAAAGGAATAGTGAAAGAGGAAACTAGGAGGAGAAAGAGGAGAAGGGAGGTTTTCCAAGGAAACATTCATAGACAAAACAATCAATACGGAAGAACATGTGGAAAGACGAAAATCTGGAAAGAAAATTGAGGTATAAGAGGGTAGAGAAAAGCAAAAAATGAAAACACTAGAGCTTTCTGTCTCTATAACAGGTCCAGAAGGCACACACAAGTCGTGGATATTCTTTTGCTTTCTATAGTGACCCTAAATTTTTCAAAATTTCTGAATTTTTTGAAGATGTTGACATTGTTATTTATTTGTTTGCTTTTTGTCTGCTTATATTTTGTGGGGATTGAACCTGGGACTTTGAGCTGGCTAGGCAAGTGCTATATCACTTGAGCTACATTTTGAAGAATGAATGAGGCAGTCCTGAGCAGGAGAAAATGACAAAGTTTTGATGTAGTCTGTGTCAAAGGTGATGCCTGGTAGAAAAGGCCTCTTGACCCTGAACTAGGCCTTGCTCTTGTGTGCTTTTCCAGCCATCCTCTTACTCTATCAGCCTTCATCCTTACTGCTCATTCCTGAATTTTAGCAGATCTGGAGACCTTAGTCCAGCTCTTCTGAAGAAGGATTAAGATCCCTTTGTAGCTTAAGAGACTAAGCATTTCCATGCAGTTTGCTAGGAGCCAAACAAATCATCTATGTATATGAAGTAATGAATACATCAGACAAGACAACTAAGTATATTTTAATTCTTATTGTTTTAATGTGAGGTGTTCCCTTTCATTTCTAAACCTTTCAGGACTTGTTCTCTTAGTGAATCCTGTAAGTACAGTTGACAGGAAAGAACTGATGGATAGTTTATTGTGTACACCTTTTCACCCATTGCTCCTATTTTCAGGAACCTCAAGAAGAACCAAATTTTTTGGTACTTTTCCGGGAAACTATGTCAAGAGGCTGTGAATCACTCTCCTTCCTTATTTAAGCCGCATTTCAGCAACACATCTGCATAAACTTGCCTCAAACACCACCACCACCCCCCCCTTGCAGGCCTTTGGTTTCCAGTAATATCATCACCATCTCCACCCACCTGCCATCACCAAGCCATCAGCAAAGTTGACTGCCACTGTGAGCCTTGGAGAAGCATGGCAGACACACAGCCACATGCAAGCACGTTTTCCTGCTTTCTGCTCCAGACTTTGAAAATCTCATGGTTGAGATCAGAAAGAAAATCGTCAGTAAAGGAGAATGTCTCCAAGAGGCTCTCTGGTGTCATGGTGATATTTCAACTTCTCTGGAAGATGCTCTCCCTCACAGGGCAACCAGAAGATTGTTTATTCTGACTTGCTGTGGTTTGTTTCTTCCCCTTCTTAGCTTGGAAGTATATGTTTCTTTCACAAGTTTGCCTAGTGTCCTGGTTTACACTATAGGAAAACTGTACTTCAGCTATTGTTTGCCTGCACTTATATGTTGTTATATGCACAGTGATTGCAAAATCTAAAGCAAGAGTAGGAAAGTTAATTTGGATGGGTGCGACTGTTGATCAAATATACATTTTCAGGTAGGAGTCTTGACCTGCAATTTTTGTTGTACTTTTTTTAGAAGTGCAAACAGTGACTGAATAAGAGCCTTTGGTGATTATCATAAGACTACAAGAGGTTTAGCTAGACAGCAGGAAAAAAATCTATTGTGTTGTAAAGTTGCATTGCTATTTTATATTAAAATGTAATCATCAGCATCTTGGACAATGAGCTCTTAGTGTATTATTTATCTGAGAAAACTTAAATAAAGCAGTGTTAGTGAGAAGTGCAAAGAACTATCCAAACATAGAAGCTTGAAAGTATCTGTAAGCAATATTAGTAGGTAAGATTACACTGTGTGTACCTGTACACATTTGAGATTGTATGAGAACATAGAATGCATACGATAGGTTGTACATTTTATGAAAATGTAAAAGAATCCCACATATTATTTTATAGAAATAGAATACTTCAGAAGCATCACAAGTGTTAAGGCTGGTTTTAGCAAGGATTATGGTCAATACAATTATTTTTACTATGATAATTATTTTTCTTCTATGGAACCCAGAATCCTGGCTACATTTGAGGACAGGAATATGTTAAGCTTAATTTTCCTGGTGTGCGTAAAATATGTCTTAGAAATAAATTAGGCATGTTTTAATGACAGTGTTAAATCATTCAGGTTATACTTTCTGCCTCACAGCAGAAATTCACAAAATATTGAACCTGAAAGATTTAATTGGGTTAACAGTGCCTGACCTACACACACCCTGAGAACTAGCTTTGTATTTCTTATGACTTTGCATAAGAATGATTCATCTTTGGATCTTGAGCACCTTATAATAGATAAAACTTTTTATGGCATTTCTTCAGTGGATAGTGACTGATCTTTTCACAATACATAATTTCAGATTTTGTACATATGTTTGGGGATTTTTTTGTACAGACTATTTAGTTGTTGAGAAACCAGGGAAGCTTCCCAATTTTGGTCTTTATTCTGCACTTACACCAAGCTAAAACACATTCAGCAGATGACCTTTTATGTATTTTACAGATCACAAGCCCCCCTGGGTAGTGTGACTCTCTAAGATAGCATTTATGCAAAAATTCAAAAGATCTTAGCAGCCAAACTGAACTGCTCATAGGTACTATAGAATGTAAAGAAATTCCACTGGGAGAAGATAAAGGAACATCTTTGAGCAGCCCACTTCGATTACTACCTAGTTCATAGCCAGCTTTATATTTTCAAGGCTCTGGGTTTGGAATTAAGTCAACTGCATGCAGCTTTGCTGACAAAGAATTCTCTTTGATGCCATTTACAAAACAAGATTTCAATATCTGTTGCCTGTCATATTTAAGAAAAATACTGTTTCTACTCTCTGTATCTGATTTTAAAAGGAAAAATATTCACACCTGGTGTTCAGGTATTTGACTTTGAATTCTTACAAGCAAAGGTCGTTGTGTTTTTCTTGAGAGACATCTAATAAATTTTGCTTGGAAGTATACTTCACTTTCTCTTTCTGATATTTATCCTTAATGTGTATATTTTATTCCAGTTTATTGGCCAATATAAGAAAATGCATTTGCTCTGTTTTCTCTTGCTACATAAATGGAGAAAACATCTGCTAGCATCAAATCAGAAGTATTTTAAAATCTGCCACCAAAACTCATTGGTTAAATATTCTTTGGCTAAAAAAATTTCCCATCGGTTAATATTTTTTTAATGTCTGATACAAAACTTGTTAATTTTCTGAGGAGTTTGTTGAAAGAAATATAAATTCTTTCTTTTGTCTTTCATTCCTTCCTTTCATAAGTAATTCATATGCTATGTATTTCAGCTTCATGTCATTTCTAATTCAACTCTTTCTCGCTTCTTTCTTTCCCTCCTTCCTTCATAATTCATGAGCTGTGTATTTCATCTTCATTCCATTTCTAATACTGGAGCTATAAATTGGGTAAAAACATGTACAGGGTTCCCATTTTTGGTTTTTGAATACTTGATACCATGAAAATGCATCACCACAACACGCACTTTGTAAGCTATGTATATACACACATAGCTTATAAAGGTATATATATATATATATATATATATATAGCTTACAAAGAGGTGTATATATATATGTATATATATATAGCTTTGTGTATATACCTTTGTGTGTGTGTGTATATATATATATATATATAGCTTACAAAGGTAAGCAACATATATATATATATATATATATATATATATATATATATGCCTACACTTCCTCACACTTGCTTTCAACGAATCTCAAATGAGTGAAGCAGTGAGATCCTTCTTTTTGGTCACCTGAATAGTAAAGAGCTAGTTTTCCAGATTGGATGCTTTCTAATGTACTGCAATCCCTTTTTGGTCTATCTGTTTGAACTCTTGTCCATATCGGTCAAATATTCAGCAAGATGGACATTGCTTTCTTAGCCACTCAGTTGTCAAGTCAGTTATTTACCATAATACCCATTTAGATCTCTATTCCAACGGGTAATTTCACTTCATGTTGGCTTTCCACTAAGATTTCCTGAAAGACATATCCCATTATCTTGTTATTGTCCTGATTTCACTGGACCATTGTTGAGTATCTTACCAAGATCAATCTGATTCTATTTAGAATCAGGCTAGAAGAAGAGAAAGAGGAACCTAGAAAGTGACCAAAGGGGAAGCAATACTGAATACCACGATCTTAGCTAGTTCTAGGACTTGATTCTCACAATAAGTGCAAGAAGAAATCTACTTTATGCCCATTTCATACATTGATGAAACTGAAACCAGAAGATAAATAGTCGCTCCATATGTAGAAGGTATTACGTCACAAAAATGGATCCCTAATGTGATATGTCTATCTCTTCAAAGCCTAAATTCCTTCTTCTACACCAACCAAGCAAAGGGCCATACCCACTGTGGATAAAACTATGCACTCAAAGGCTACCTTTGTCTGCTTTCCCCTCCATTCAAATCACCCACAGCTGCTCTCTCATGACAGCACAAGATGACAAGATAAAGGCACGTGCCCAATCCAGCATAATGTATTTCCCTGAACAAAGCTAACTTTGGTTTCTAAATGTACTCAATAATCAGTGAGGGTACAATGATTTAACTGAGCATGAACAGTGCATGAGCTGTGATTCATCACTTTACGAAAGGTTGATGCTAGTGAGCTCAGCGACTGGTGGTGTTTGAGAAAGTGTTTTATATCCTCCATTCTCCTAGGGACAGGCAAGCCCAGCGTGCTCTAGGAACACAGTGTGCTTGCCAGATGGCCTTGATATACACAGAGCCCTAGGATACACTAGTCATTCTCTGCTGGGTGACTCTAAGTAGCCCAGGGCCTTAGCTCACTGCTAAATTCAGCCCCTCCAGAGTTCAGGAAAGCTCTCTCTGAGCTCATACACATACATATATCTTGACCCCAAAAACTTTTAGTACAAGACAGACATCTGCCTAGCAAATCTTCACCTGTTCCTAGGAGGTTTCTTGTTTCATCCTTTCCCCTAAAATATGACAGGTGACTCAGTTGTTCCTGTGTCTTCCAAAAAAGAAATGTCATTTCAAATAAAACTCTTGTTACTATTAACAGTATCAATAGATGGGTACCAAATCTCTCATTGATGCAGTCACAAGCTTTACAACCACTTTTAAGAGAATTTTTAAGTTTGGTAATTGACCAAATGATAGATACTTTTGCTAGAAAAAAAATTGGATGCTATAAATGGGTAAAAATAGGATACTTGAAGAGTTCCACTTGAATGATGATTACACTTTGGAACATTTCCTTCCATCCAGAGAATTTTTAACACTTGTGTTGAAGTGGCACATGTAATCAAACTGGGTTCATACTGAACACACTGCTTTAGGGATTTTTTTGGTTTTTTGCTTCATTGTATAGAGGGGTTACAGTTGTGTAAGTGAGGTAATGAATACATTCCTTTTTGACCAATGGGACACACAATTTTATAACCTGTACCTATTCTTAAATTGGACTCTGAAATAAAATGAATGTTAATTTGACAATGCCAAAGTCTATAAAAAGAATGGAAAGTTCAAGTCAATCCCCATGATTCATGAAACTGCAATGAATTCTAAACGCAAGGCAATAAACAACTACCACCAGGCTAGAAAATCTAATGTACTCTGAGAAACAGATACAGAGAGAAAGGTAAGATAAAAAGAGAATATTTAGTATCTCCCTACATGCATTGGGGTTTTTTCCAGCTATGTGATAGCTAAAGAAAAAGAGATGTCTCTCTGTCTCTCCTCTAGAGCACTCACACTCTGTTAGAGTCAGCCCCTTCCTTTCTGCTTGTCTGCTTTTTGTCTGCATGTCTGCTTGCTTGCTTGATTACCTACTCAATAAAGCTCTGCCATGGAAGAAAGAAAGAGAGAAAAAAAGAAAGAAAGAAAGAAAGAAAGGAAAGAAAAGAAAGAAAGGAGGGAGGTAGGAAGGGAGGGAGGGAGGAAGAGGAAGGAAGAAAAGAGAGAGAAAGAAAAAAGAAAGGAAAGAAGGAAGGAAGAAAGAAAAAAAGAAAGAAAGAAAGGAGAAGGAAAGGGAAGGAGAGAGAGATCAAGTTGAGAAATAGGTGAATGACACAGTAATTAGAAGATCCAAAACATCTTGAGAGTAAGCAAACTGCCTAAGTTCTAAATTAATACTTCCAGAAAAATAGTAGTTCATTTTAAAAGCCTGTATAATCCTGACAAGAGTTAGAGCTAAAGTATTTTTATAATATGCTATCATAGAGCTACTTACATTGGATGATTTTTGCTTCTCCCTGAGTGACACTTGACAAAGTATGGAGACATTTGGGGCTGGAGGGTTGCTACTTAGTGGAAGCAGAAGGGACTCTTTCTGAACTTTTTTATGAGGGTGCTGATCCCATTCTACTCTAATAACTAAACAATTGTACAGTTTAGGCTTGGGACCAGGACTGCCAATCTGTAGTCACTACAGCTCTCTGCCTTACAATGTAGTTGAAGCTTTGATTTCCGCCCAGTCTAAAGCCAGAGTTTGAGCTGTGGGTTCTTTCCTACTTTTCTTTTGTAAAACTCCTGTTTCTTGGTGCTTTTCAGCCATCCTGTCACTTCTCTTGTGATTCCTGTTGGTGCTCCTCTCTTTTTCTCTGTAATAGTTGACTCTATTCATGGAGTTACACAGAGGAAGTTTCTGATCCTGTATAAAGTACTTAAAATTAAGTTTCCCCGGACCCAATCTAATCTCCTTTCTATCACTTTTTCTCTCCATCCCTCTACTAAAAACTAAATCTTAAAATGCAGATAGGCTCCAAAGTCAGTATTTTTCCAGACCTCCTGCCTACCTAACATCCTTCAAAACACACATCCACGTTTGGTCAGCTGTCAGAGGATATGAGAAAAAAAACTTAGACATCTGTTTGTGGATTTAATGAGCATAGTATCTCTTTCACTATCAAAGATAAATTGCTAGACAGCTGTATTGAAACCACAGCATACTTCTAACACTGAGGCTGCAAAGATGAGATGACCTGCTTTCCAAATCCAGTCATGAATAATCCTCCTACTTGGGGAGTCTTTTTTTCCTTCTGCATGAAAACGTGTAAAGCAATAACAAGGATCACTGTGTCAACTGCAAACCCTAAAATTCTAAGCTTCCTTTTTACTGTATGTGGGTACTGATCATGATATTATTTGAAAATTGTTCTGGATTTCAGTTTCAAAAAAGAAAATATATAAGAGAGTGAATATCTTGCTTAGTACAATTCTCCTATATAATATGTAAAGCATATTTTTCAAACTCAGTCTCGGGTTTCTAAGGAAGTGAACCTGGATTGATGACAACTACAATTAGCTTGTAAAATGAGTATAATAAAAATAATACTATATAACATTTAGCTGAGAAATAAATGAGCTAAAACTTCAACAATCTAATGCATGATTAGCTATAAAGCCTTTCTTTTCCTTTTGAA